ACCCTCTGTCAAGCGACTCATGATGTACCAGCAAGGCTGCTTCGCCGGAGGCACCGTGCTCCGGCTCGCCAAGGACCTCGCCGAGAACAACAAGGGCGCCCGTGTTCTCGTTGTCTGCTCTGAGATCACCGCCGTCACCTTCCGTGGGCCCTCCGACACTCACCTCGACTCCCTTGTGGGCCAGGCCCTCTTCGGGGACGGCGCTGCAGCCATGATCATCGGTGCCGATCCCGACACATCCATCGAGCGCCCGATCTTCGAGCTGGTGTCTGCGGCACAGACCATCTTGCCCGATTCCGACGGAGCCATCGATGGGCACCTGCGGGAAGTGGGTCTCACGTTCCACTTGCTGAAGGACGTTCCCGGAATTATCTCGAAGAACATTGAAAAGAGCTTGGTGGAGGCGTTTAATCCCATTGGCATCAACGACTGGAATTCCATCTTCTGGATCGCCCACCCTGGTGGCCCGGCGATTCTGGATCAGGTGGAGGCCAAGCTGGGGCTGAAAGAAGAGAAGCTCGCAGCGACCAGGCACATTCTGAGCGAGTACGGGAACATGTCAAGCGCGTGTGTTGTATTCATATTGGACGAGGTGAGGAAAAGGTCGATGAATGGAGGCAAGGCCACCACCGGAGAAGGGTTGGAGTGGGGGGTCTTGTTCGGGTTCGGGCCGGGTCTGACGGTGGAGACAGTGGTGTTGCACAGTGTTCCCGTGTAATGGAATTACGAGGGGACGCTGATCATGAGAACTCAGAAATTTATGTTTGTCCGAAGGGGAGGCAGAAGCTGAAATAAGGACATGGAAAGGTCGACTATTACAGTGCATTTACTATTTCAAATGTTTGTCAGTACAGTATCATCGGATTCACGCGAGATCAGTTACTTGGTAGGTACGATCCTGTGATAATGCTGTGAACCCAATTTGCAAGCCGAGTGTAATCTTTCGCTTGATTTTGATGAAAGGCGCACTTTTATCTTTTTCAGTCTTCTAATTTTAATGTTATTAACTTATATGATATTTTTCTCTGGACCGAACTTAACACATTAATGTTTAATAATTTTTTCAACATCTAAAATTTCAATTTTTGTTAATTAAATTATTAGTTTTATGACACGTTAAACTTGAGTTTGGGTGAAGTCGAACTTATAAATGTTTTAAAGTGAAGTAACTTATAAGCTTTTAGTTTTAATGTTTTGACTTTTGAATTAAAAATGTGGTCTTATCCCATTGCTCCTCTCAATTATTACCTCTCCTTGTTTTGGTAATCCCCTCCCCATTCAGAACACTTATTAATGCTGTATTTAATTTATTTATGCCACTTGTCCCCGCTTAATTACCAGGGGCATACTCGTCTTTTGTGTATTAGGACTAGACTCGAGCTAGCCTGATCACAGGTTCAAGCATAAAAAATTGAGATTAGAGTGACATCTTCTAAAATTATACTCAATAGTTATACGGTATTTCTGAAAAAACATAAAGCTGATCAATCATTTATGATTTTAAATAAAATTAATAGATTGATTTTTTTTTCTAGGAAAAATCTCATGAGAATATTGAAACAAGTTTATTGCATGCGAAAATCCCAAAAAAAAAAATGCTACTCGAATTTTAAAATTACAAATTAGTCATGTTTTATAAACTTTAATAAGAATTGATTATACTTAAAATATAATTAAAAGTATGTTTTTATAGTAATTTCTGATTTAAAATTTTGAAACTTAAGTGATATTTTTTTTTAATTGTGTTTATCTATCGTCTCCTGTGAAATCAATTACCGATTAAAATTCGTTTAAAAAAGTTTAAAATATAAAGTCCTGTCTAGGTGAGGGAGAGGGAGGGTGAGGCATGGACGCATGCGTAGCTCACTTGCCAGCAAATTTGAATTGCTGATCTGAACTCTGAAGTCTCTCGTCTTTTGAAAATCCGGTGTCCTCGTGAATTTATAGTTGTACCAAACACTGGTTTGCGTAACACACTTTTTCTTTGTTTTTACATTCAGTTCCCACTATTTATAACTAATAATTTGTTCAGTTCTGCCCTCCACTAACGCTGTGTTAACTCATAGCTATCTTTGTTTAACGCTCTTCATCTGATAAAAATACCAGTGAAAATAAAGAATACTAATTCTGTTCTTTGATATAAGCGTTATATAATAATTTGTAAATATAAAAAAAATTAGTTAAATTTATTATTTATAAAAAAATGTATCGAGATTACTCTTGATTAAAGCTCTCTTAATATGTGCAATCAATAAGGATCATTTGCAAAGTTAATTATGAATTTTGTTGATAAAATGAATTCGCTTCTTAGGATTATGATAATTTTGGTTATATTTAGGACAGTAAGAGAGTAATTATATTTTAAAATTTGAAATATGATGTACAGTTAGAAATAAGACACATATCGCCCTAAAAAAAAAAAGAAATAAGATGAACAGATGAGATACTAACCACTGAGGAATACAAATATATTCTTTTTTTTTTTTGCTAAAGCATAGGTATCTTCCTATTAAAGGTAATCCAATTCGAATCTTAATTCGCTACGTTATGAGATATTAGTTCCTTCTACTAGACCCAACCTTGTAGGTGGAATACAAATAATTACATTAGAATTGAATTTTATTTTCAGTTTGGAATGGGCACACGGAAAAGTCGGATTTACCAAAAAACTGGGCCGTGGGAAAGCCGATAATGATGATAGCGTGTTTAGGTTGCTCCAAAAACACATTGTCTGTTTCCTTGGAAATACGGGCCACAACAACGGTGACCAATCGGTCCAACGGGGCCAGGGTTTATTCCACTGAACACCCTTTAGGCCCAATGATCATTTTTTTAGGTAATGAGGCCCAATATACACTTAGCAGAAGACTGTGCAAGTACGGAACTGAATTTGCATTCAATGGGAAAAAAGGCAGCCCGTGCCCAAAGAATTCACATCCAATATCATTTTTTTTACAAGAGATACCTTTTATTAGAAACAATTATATTTAAGATGCTGTCGGACATTAAATATAAACATATATCCAATCCTATTGGATTAGCAAGTCCCATACAGCTATAACCATTTTTATCTTCGCCTCAAACCATTCACCATGTTAGGAGGTAATGAGCAGCCCGTTAGCGTTTTGCTCCTTTTTGTTCCAGTCTTTCGAATTCATTTTCGCTTTCGTCTTCTCACGTGGTTTTTCTGTTTTTCTTTCCCCTGACTCTTCTCTCTATCCAAATACAGGGATAGGTAGGAGATTGATAACCAAAGCGGGGAAAAGTATAAGCAAGTTGAAGTCTGAGAGCAGAGATAAGCTAGATAACGTGTTAGAAGTTAGATGGAACATCAAGAAATGCACTGAAAATTTGGTAGGATTAATTAATCTTAAAGTGACGCTGATATGGCTCCCACCCGTTTGAAAGAGATATTTATACTCGCAAGTCCTGTGTTCACGTGAGCAGCGACAAATCATTGGCTTTCAAATACCACCAAATCCCTTCATTTCGGTTTAAATATTAACTTTGCACTCAAACAACGATCCTCCTCCTCAATCCGCCCAATGACTCTCTAAATATTCATCTGTAGGCCTTTCTGGGAAGTGCAGAAGCAGACACATGTTTGTGCAGTGAGAAGAAGAAGCTGCCAAAAGGCGAAGAGAAAAAGGAAGGCAATAGATGTCAGAGACGACAGAACAGCATGGTGGTCTACAACCCACAGTGACGTTGTGATCTTCGTTTCTCGTGGGGTTATTGACATATTGTCCGTTTTATTTACTGTCTCAAACCAAAGAACAACGTGCATGATGACTTTGTTTCGCCGTTAGGTGAGCAGTGTGGGTTCAGAATGGAAACAAAGCCCAGTGATTCTCAGTATCGACCAGAGAGAATAGCATAAATTCATTCATGAACGCCTCCGCAAGGACACTGGCGCCACTTCTGGAGACACCAACCTTTAACTCAAAATAGAATGAGGGGGCATCGAATTAATTACTGAGCCTCAATAACTCTTGGAGCTTCACATTATTTGTGATTAAACAGACATGCTTCTTACTGCATTATTAATATTAATGCCCTTCTATATAGTAATCGTTTCTTACAAGGCCTGAGAAATAAGGATCTTCAGATCAGAATCAATCATATCATGGCGTTTTCTGTCTCCGTTGCTGTTCGTGGAAACCCACAAGCTTCTTTCTTCTACTTTTTCACGCTCTCTTCACTTTTGGCAGTAGAAAGAGACAAAACAAAAGACTTCCGTTGCATTGATGAAAGAGCTAGGCACGAGGGGGATGGAAATAGGCATAGCATCGTAGACTTTCCAGTTTTTTCCACACGGTCGCTTCTTTGGTGTCTCCAGCTTTGTCACCATCATCATCATTATTGTTGTTGTTATTTTTACTGTAGTTTTATCATGTGGTATTCGGTCGGAAGTTATGAACAGTTTTTTAACAGCTGAGGTTATTTTTTATGGAGGAAAAAAAAAAGCACAGAACAAGAGAAAAGATGTTACAGTGATGAAACAGCTCTAACTGTTACCGTTTGGGGGAGTTTCCAGAGTTTGATGCAATCATCGGGGTAATCATGGTCACCGCACCACAGAGGATAATAATTGTGCGACAAATAAATTATTAAAAAAATGTCAAAGAATCCGAAGTGTAGGTGTGAGAAATAGGAAAAAATAAAAAAGAGAACGCTGTATTATACCAAAAAAAAAAACAGAGAGAGAGAGAGAGAGAGAGAGACGTAGAAGTTGCCGTTACATTATTCCCTTGCTTTGTTGTAATATATTTATTCAGTTGTCTGGTTAAATTAGCAGAAGTTACTTATTAAAATGGCCAGTAGGAGCAACGTCAACATAGCTGGCTGGTGGGGCACAACAACCCCACAAGCAACATGCCATTCAGCTATGAGTCTCTCTTTCTCTTCACACTCTGCTCCATTTCTCACCCCTTCGATACTCTTTCCTTTGTTTAATTTCATCTTCTTCTGTAAGTAAGTTCTTTGTTTCATCCCTCGGATTTTACACTTGTATTGAGCGGGTCTTCTTTCTCACCACCCACCCCCTTCTCTTCTTCTTCTCTCACTCTCTTTCTTCTCTGTGAATCTGTTACAGCCAAGATGCCCTGTACACGACACAGAAAATAAACCAATTCATCCTGCGTATCAGACAACAAATATGCCACTTTACAGCCTACAAATATATTCAAACTAAATGTGAATAAATCAATTTCTCTCTCTCTCTCTCTGTCGCTTAGTCCTCTTTCTCTCTCTCTCTCTCTCTGTCCACTTCATATCTCCGTCTTCTATTCTTTCTTCTTCTGCTTCAATCATCTCGGCTTCGATTTGATTTTAGCTCGGCTGGAAGCATCAAGGAGAATCAATCAAAAGGGTCCCTTCTGTATTTGTGGGTTTACATGTATATGCTGATCATTTGCTGAATTGGATGGTTTGGTAGAGGAAGTAGTAATAAACTCGAAAGTGTTTGTCGGCGCAGGGTCACTTTCTGTCGGCATTGTTTGTATCCAACGATGATACCCTCAGAGAGTATTCTAATTAATTCAGTTAAAGGACAACGGAGATAGAGAGGTGCTTCTTCTCCTCGTTCTGGGTTTTTGTTACTTACAGTCTTAACGACATTGAGAAGGCCTATTGAATTGGACCTCGCTATTCAGGGCGTTCTCTTGTATCATCAACTGGAACGTCAAAACTCAGTCTTCATCTAAAGGGCTTTGTGGTCGCTTTTGATGCCCCCAGTTTCTCTTTCTGTATTTATTTCCTGAGTTCAATTACTGAATATCTTGTTTTGATTGTTAGGTTTATGTCAAGTATAGATAACTGGCTCATTTGGGGGGAATGTGGGTGAATCTCGATTTTGGCAATAAATGACGATGGAGTTTCATTCGGATTGTCATTGGTAAATGAAGCTCAGGCTGTCTGAGATCCCACGCTATCATTTACCTGGAGATACAGCTCTGCAGATTTGACAGAAATTCCACCTCTGTTATATCTGTAATTCCACTTCGCCTCACCTTCTAATTTCAACTATACGCAGATATAATGCCATTTTGCAAGATCCAATTATTAGAAACAAACATGCATTTGGTTGAGATCCGTGCGCCTTGTTCCAAGTGTGTTATTTTTCAATCTTATAGCTTGAAACCGGTCTTCATTCTTATAATGGCTTGCAGCCGATTCATTACATTCCAACTTTTTCCAGCATAATTGATTTTCTTCTTTCAAGTTTGATTGTGGATTACTCGCTGCATGTGTCCTGCACTTCATTAATATCTTTTGCATTGGTCCAACATTCAATGCGGGTCCGCTCTTTTTGATTTTCTGCTATTCTCTGGATTTCAGGTTCTATGTATAATACTTGCTATTAATACTGTAAAGCACAGAGTGAAGTGATTGCCATACCCGATGTCAGGGTCTCTTGCAGCGATAGTAGGAGGAGCTGCAGGGGCCGTGGCATTGGTAGGGATAGTTATAGCACTCATATGCTTCTGCCTATCTCGCAGGAGGAGTGTCTCAAGGACTTCAGAGACCGGGTCCTCTGATCCTTCCCAAGGTAACTTCTGTCTGAAACATGCATGCCAGTTTTCTTAAGGGATACTAGTGGTATGAACAACAAACCCATTCTTGTATTCTTCCATTTAACACAGTGGGAAGACATGGTGGGATTGAGTTGACTTTGCGGGATACTAGGCGGTTTGAGATGGAAGAACTATCTCAGGCTACAAAGAATTTCAGTGACAAAAATTTGATCGGAGAAGGGAAGTTTGGGGAGGTCTACAAAGGCTTACTTCATGATGGTATGCTTGTGGCCATCAAAAAGCGGCAGGGATTTCCAAGCCAGGAATTTGTTGATGAGGTAGTTATCAGTTCTCTGTCTCCAAAACTTGGTTTTATAAGACACTGTGATATAATATAATTCAAGGGAAGCGATTTGTCTTGCTAATAACTAGAACTCTTCATGATGATATTCTCTGGGGAATAGGGATGATTGGTTGCGAGTTTCTTGATTGAGTTGTTCCCCGCTTACCTTATAGTTGGTTTGGAATGCTAAAATTTTCTTTACCCATCAACTCATTCTAATCGTATCTTTCTTCTTTCTCATGGATACAATGTAAGCAATCAGTATTTCTATCTCACCACAAAGTCCAGCCAACTGCAGTGGGATTTATCATTTATTGTTCTTGACCAGCCACTCTCACCTCAGTTTTGACTTGGAACGGATTCGCTATTTGGATCTAGTTTCAGGGTTCAAATTTATGGCATCTCGTATTTGTTCATTTTTTTCGGCTTTGATCTAATAGGACTGAGTTTGACTTCAGGCTCGTTACCTCTCATCCATTCATCATCGGAATCTTGTAACTCTATTGGGCTACTGCCAGGAACAAAATCTGCAGTTTCTTATATACGAATATGTGCCTAATGGGAGCGTCTCTAGTCACTTGTATGGTAAATTTCTATGCAGTCACTGTACTCCTTGTTAATCACACTTCATATATATATTTATATATTTGCCTCCACAAGTTATGGATTTTATCTGCACTCAATAGCACGAAAATTGGTTTTCTCTTAGCCTGCGTTTCATGCGACGTGCATGCCAAGCTATAACTTTGTTCGTGTTGCATGTCATAAAAGATTCTTCTTCCCTCCTTTTAGCTTAACGCACCATTCGTTCTTAGAGTTATGCATATCCATTCTATTTCTCTCTGCAGGTGCTGGTCAACAATCGAAAGAGAAGCTAGAATTCAAGCTTAGACTTTCAATAGCTCTAGGTGCAGCTACAGGTGATCCTCTGCAAAATCAGTGAGCATTTGTGGCTTTCCTGGTATCAGTTTTCTTCTTTTTAGATAAAATATCCCAGTATCTGAATGGACCCCACAAGTTCTTTCGTAAGCCACCTTAAAACTTTCAGTTTCTTGGTAATCCCTTATTTATGCATAAAGGGTCTGAGGCACTGGTCCGCGATTTACAAAAAGCTCATTCATCTTTTCCTAAGCAGGTTTGGCTTATATTCATTCCTTGAGCCCCCGTTTGGTGCACAAGAATTTCAAGACAGCCAATGTTCTTGTCGATGAAAATTTCATTGCTAAGGTTGCAGACGCTGGACTTCGTAATTTCCTGGGAAGAGCTGATATTGCAGGTCCATCTTCTCAAGTTGCAGCAGATGAGATATTCCTTGCACCCGAGTAATAACTCTGAGAATGATGCACATTACTGATATGCGTCCATTGTAGTTGTACCTGTAACTGTACACTTCTCTTGACTTGCGTGCCATATTCTTATGCAGGGTTAGAGAGTTCAGACGATTTTCTGAAAGGAGTGATGTATACAGTTTTGGGGTATTTTTGTTGGAGCTATTAAGTGGGAAGGAAGCAACAGAATCTCCAACCTCAGATTCTAATCAGAATCTAGTTGAATGGGTATGTGGTCATGTCTAATCCAGCCATTTCTCAGGACTTGTTGAAGTTCACCAGAAAAACTGGCAACTATTTGGTGTTCGACATGTATTTATTACTTTTTTCCTCTAATGAAGGTGCAAGTCAATGAAGACCATCGCATTATGTCTAACATCATTGATCAGAGATTGGGGAGCAGTTTCACAGCGGAAGGCATGGAAGAGTTTATCTTGCTGGTAGCTCGATGTTTGAGCCCTTCAAGTGAGAGAAGACCTTCCATGAGTTATGTCGTAATGGAACTTGAACGGATTCTTGAGAAGGAAATGAACTTGACAACTATGATGGGCGAAGGCACCCCAACTGTGACCCTTGGAAGCCAGTTATTCAAAGCGACAAGGTAAAGAGAAAGAAGCATTGTCGGCGTCCAAATTGTCAGTATACATTTGTGATTATATCTTGCTTTCTTATTCTTCTCCCGATGGATACCAGAGAATCTGTAAAGCCGCTTGATAAGTGTACAAAGAGCAGCTGTCATTTCCTCCTCTTTCCATGAGCCAGTGAACAATTTATTTTATTCATTTTTTTACCATAAAGATGTATGAGAAATCTTGTAAACCATTATTTGTTGTTAATATGAGAGTGATGATTGGGTTGGTGTGGCTATGTGTGTTTATGAGTTTCTGATATTCCTATCCTACATTAATTTCCATTCCATCAATGCTTGCTCTACTTCCGGGAGCACTTACGAAAGATCTTAAATTTGATCCAGTCCGAGTTAAAGGAATAACGGCGTAGGTTGTGGACAATGATCAATGCAATTGGCTGCGAGATTAAATGTGTTAACAACAGGAGATCTCACCATGATGAAATCTATATATTAACATGATCCTTAGAGGACTCGACAAAGTAACAGGGGAGAGACAAAACATCACGTTATGGGCATCATCACAAGACTTTGATTTGGGTTCATTTTCTTTGGGAATGGACGAGGACTCTGACAACACTATGCAATTGGTTAGATGGTGGCCAGGAAGTGTGTACTTGGAGTAGTGGCGTTGATGCATTGGCACACGGTCACAGCAAGTGGAATACCTGTTATGATGTCCCACATCGGCTAAAACGTAAGAAGCGAAGTGGGGTTCAGCTTATAAATTAGAAGGGAGGGTGGCGTTTTCATTGACGATGCCTTGAGGTATGATCCTGGATTCTTGTCTTGTTGTGGGTTGTTTAGTGCTGCATATTTTGTACGGAAGATAAACTGCTTACGAGCTGCTTCCCAGAAAGTTGCTTGTAGGCTAAGCCATTTGAAACGGGTCTCTAACATGTTGTGCTCCGGTTTGAAAAGTGAAAAATTGAACTAAAACTAACGACTTTCTAAGCTGTTCTGCCTGTGAATTTAATATTTTTTAATAATGTAGGGGTGAAAAGCATAATGAGCTTATGAATTTAGCTCTTAGAAAGAATAATTAAAAGGGGTTTATCATGTTTTAGATTGCTTTTTGTATACGCTTTTAGGAAGAATAGATTCAGAAGGAAATTTGACATGGATTTATACTTTTGTGATTATCTTTTCTTGAATACACTAAGGGGTGTTTGGGTGATAACCCAAACCATGGTTTGGGAAAAAATCACCCAAACATCCTTAAAAAACCAAACCATGGTTTGGGAAAAGCAAAAAATTTTGGCTTTTGGAAAAAAAAAGGAAGTGTGAGAGCCTATAGGATATGTATTTTGTTGTTTTTTTTTATAAACATATTTTTTTATAAATATATTTAATCTTGTATCTTATTTTTTTTATAAACATATTAATTATTTATTAATTATATTATCTTATGTATTATTAATTATGTTAATAAAAAATATATTATTAACAATTTTATTCCTTCAAATTAAAATATATCATAAAATATTTTTTTCTGTAATTATCATATTAACTTATGCCTTTTTTAGTAATTTGTACATGTAAAAAGTGTTTCTGGTAATAACTATCCAAACACTCTCACTTCTCAGAATCACTTTTTCACAAAATCTATTTTCAAAATCTATTTTCCTCAGATCTATTCTCCAGAAGCTATTCTCCAAACCATGGTTTGGTTATATGGCAACACCCTCTAAGGATATCTCAATGAACTCATAGCCGTCGCGCTTTGTCTCTCTGCTTTCTGGGACGCCACGAAGACCGAAGCAGAAGCGTGGGGGAAGATTGGGAACGCGAAGAATGGTGCAATGTCTCTCCTTCGGATCATTGACGTCATCTTCAGCGTCTGCTTCGGGCCCTATTCCCCCTGCTCCTCTCCAGGGTAACTCAACTTCTTCCTTTCTTGGCTGCAGCTCTCAGCTTTCGGATTTAGGGTATCTATTTCGATTATAGGATCACACTACACACAATTATACCCTTCGAAACAAATATTTCGAATTGTTTACTCTTCGTGAAAATGGCCTTTGAATTAACGTCTCACTGAATCTGACTGTCAGGGTATTCGACGGAGCCCACACTTCGTCGCCCACCCCAAATGTGTCTCTCGAATTCAATCGCACCGTACTGGGAAGTTCCTTCAAGCAGATCCGATGTGTAATTGAGTCACAAGTATTTGACCCTGATT